TGAAGAAAGGTGATATTGTGACACGTGATGAAGTTGACAGGTATGTAATCTCATCTCGTCTTCACCAAAATGCTTTGACTCTAGTGGATGGTGTCTTGGAACATGTTCCCAGGGCTTGATGAAATTAAACCTTTTCTTTTCCACACCTAGTCTCCCAATATGCATGTCTACTTTCTTTATGTCCTTAGCTATTCCACGTTTTCTTTGCTTACCATGTCCTTTGAAAACTGGTTGGGGGTGGGGGAAGGGAGACGGGACAAAAGACATGCTGTCTAAAAGAGCCAGAGATAATAATTACTAATGATTAAATGCAGAGAGGTGTATAAACACATAGTTATGCTGCAATAGACGTAGGCTGCTGGGGGATTCCCATGATGCACTGAGCATTTTCTCTTCACTCACTAAGTGAGGATTGAGGGTCACCTGATTCAGCCCTAACTATATGCTTTATCAAAAAGGAAAGTTAGAAGCGTGATCTTAAAAGTAGAGATGCTGTCTGTCTCCTGAATCTAAACTGGGAGCTGGTTCCATAGAAGAGGGGCCTGAAAGCTGAAGGCTCTGCCTCCTGTTCTACTTTTAAATATATTAGGAGGATTTAACAGGGAGCCAGTATGGATGAAATACGCTCTTTCCAGTCCGTGTCAGTACTCTTGCTGCAGCATTTTGGATCAACTGAAGTCTCCCATCTCTTTCAGATTGCATCTTCTTTAGAAGATTTTAATCGACCTGTATGCATCTTCCTCCACTCTACATTATCCTCTGTTCCTCCTTCTTTAAAAAGTAAAAAAAAAAATCAGTTAACTGCTGTTCATGAATAAAACTAGTGCCTGTGTAACCCAAGTTATATTTTGTAGTTACAGTGTACAGATGCCTTCACAAGACATTCAAAGTTATTGTTTTGAAAAGAAGCCAGCTAAAGGCTGATTCAGTGGGGTTGTGGCCATTACAAACTTGGCTGGGCAGAATATAGGGTCTAGCTTTCTCATCTGAATTACACGAGTGAGTGAGTGATGGATGCCAGTTGTGGCAGGGAATGAAAGAGAAAATAATAAAGTGAGTTTTAGACTATCGGTGCAGTGAAATTCTGTTAAAAGTTAGAATTATCCTTCAAAGCGCAGTTTCAGGGTTTAAAGTTACTTTACTTTAGAGTTTGAGTAAATCTCTACAATGGTTAAATACAGGTGCAGGAATCTTGGGAATGCATTAATGTAAATGAATGCACACACAAAGAGAGCCAAACAAACATGCTTGTGTATGTGTGTCCCTCCTCCTGCACAGAATGGAACAGTCTCGCTAGAGAACAACTTTTAGGTAAAAGGCAAAATGTGAGAACTGCTCAACCACACAACATCAGACTTTGCATGCACCCACCATTTGCAGATTAGGTGAACAGCTGTTGAGCTAGATGAAGAACAGACAAAAAGATTTATCAAATAGAATACAAATTATAATTTTAATGAGTGTTCCTGCATGCTGGAACGTCATCCCTTTCTCCCAGTTAGTTTTTTTTCAGTGTCTCTTTGCTCTCCTCTCTTACCCTCACCCCCAGTGAGTCACAGCTGACCCTGGTTCTGCCTGTTTACCTTCTGTTAAAAGGGTTTTTTTCCTTCCTT